GCCCCGGGGGCCCCGGCCCTGGGACCCCGGCTCGCGCTCAGCCTCCCGGGCCACGTCGCTCCCGCGCCCGGGGCCAGCCCGCGTGCTCTCGGATCTCGGACCCCTGGCCCGTGAGTGGGGGGCAAGGGTCGTCAGCCGGGACCAAGGGGACAGGCGGCTGGCTGGGGCGCCCCTCCTTCCAAGCCTCTTCCTCCGGCTTCCCGCGGAGCCCTCCGGCTGCCAGTCCCTCTCCTGGGCTGCCGGCTCCGGCGGGGACCAGGACGCAGCCAGCTTCCCGGACCGAGGGAGCCGCACGTGCAAAGGCAGGGAGAGTGGACCGAGGCCGGAGCCAGAGCTTTGCAGAGCGGGGCAGCGCAGCCCCCAAAACTTGCATTCGGGGCCGAGATGCTCAGACGCCACCCTCTGGATGCCTGGAACTCACTGAGGGCCCAAGCTGGGCAGGAGAGCCCCGGGGTGAAGAATGGGAGCGGGGAGGGACAACTGGCCCGGGTGGGGCGGCGGTTCCTGGGACCCCGGGGGTCCTAGCGGGAAAAGCAGCCGCATCTCTGAGAAATGGGGAGAATTCAGCACCGGCCCCGGGAAAAGTCATTGGCCCCGGCTGGCAGTTAGCATCGGGCACTGTTAGAACTTCTCAGCAGGGGGCCACTTGAGCGCCAGAGACAGCGCTCCGCAAAAACCTGGGGACCCCCTTCCGCAGCGCCCAAGAAAGACCTATGCCTTTGAGTTGGGGTCCCAAGCGGGCCTGGCACACTATAGGTAGGAGTGGTCCTCTCTGATCTCCTCCTGGGCACCTGGAAAGAGAGGACAGTGGGGGTTACAGGCACTTGAGGGGGTAGTTTTGGGGGTCTGTGTCCCAGCAGGGAAACCCTGAAGCCAGGCAGGAAGGGGGAGGCCAAGACCAAAAAATGGCAGAACCCAGGTGAGGGCTCCCTAGTGCCTGGGGAGGGGGCAGGTGGGCAGGTGGGCAGGTGGCCATTGAGTTTTACAGACACAGCTCGGGGACAGGGGAAAGAGCAAAGGTCACCCAAATGGCTGTGGGTGCCTGCTCACCTGTACCGCGTGCCTTTGGGCAGGTGAGGTCAGGGCCAGGCAGTGAGGGAGGCCTTCGCAAGCCTCGTCCTTCCTCCTCGGCCCCCTCGCTCTCCAGTACCTGTGCCCTGCCCTTCCTGGGATCTGGGCTGGACCAAATGGGCCTCACTGCCGCCGGAATTGGACTTTAGGAAGAAATTCCAAGAGAAACAGGCAGGTGACAGTGGGGTGGACTGTGGAGAGATCAATTGTAAACAAAGAAGCTACACCTTTGTCTGAGCTCTTCCAAAGTCCACCTGTGCACTGCGTCTCCCGGAAGGCCCACCCTGTGGACGTGAGACACCTTGGCTGCAGAGATCTTTCTGCTGAGCAGGTGCCCCATCCCCCAGTGAGTGCCTTGTAGGGCCTTAGGGTATTAGGTCACCTCCTGGGCCCTGCCCGTCTTCAAACTAAGGTGAGGAAGAGGATGGGAGGTCACTTGGATACCCCCATCTGCGGCTTGACCTTGATGAGACCTTGGCCCCCCAGTCCTGTGTGCTGCTCAGCCTGGCCTCAGCACTACCAGACCAGGGTGGGAGGCTGGGCCACGGCTGCCGGGCACTGGCTGTGGAGGGCTGTGCGCCTGGCTGCTCCCCCCTGACCCCATCAGTCCCAGGCTGGCCGCCCGCTCTCATTCACCAAGGAGCTGGGTTTCCCTGGGGACCAGTGGACTGGCCTAGCCCCACACACCCCACCGCCAGCCCCTCCTTGTTGCCACAGCTCACACTGGGAGGAGGGGTGGAGGCTGGGCCGCCTCCTGGACCCCTGCCCTCCCTGCCCTGCCTCCAAGGCCAGGCGCCTCTGCCCACTGCTGAGCTGTGAGCAAGGAGCAGTGCTGCCCTTGGAAGAGGTGGGTGTCCATCAGCCAGGGTGGAGGCCGAGCCCAGGGAGATCCCTGTGTCCCTCCCGCTGTAGGAAAGAGAAGCCCAAGGGCCAGGCCAGCTCCGGCTTGCCCAGAGTGACCCAGGTTTTAAACCAAGCGCAGTGGCCTCCTGAGAAAATGGAAGGACTCAGAGCTCCATCCCAGGCAGTGGGGTGGGAGAGGGGCAGTGGAGGGCTGGGGGCTCGGGGAGGGGTAGGAAAGGCAGCTGTGGGACTGGGAGGGGGTGGTCAACGCTGGGACAAAGGGATCCCCTTATCCCATGCAGAGGTAAGAAGGGGCCTGGGGTGCTGAGCCCGGAGGGCCACAAAGGTGAGATGCTTCCAGGGTCCCCGGCATGCAGCAGTTACAGCTCACACGTAGGACTCTTCCAGAAACCCCCAAGGCCTATCTCTGCCTCTCAGCACTTCTCCCCGCAGACTCCAGCAAAGCCCTGTCCTTATGCTCCCAGTCTCCCCTGCAGGTCCCGAGGCAGCTCCAGCTGGGATGGCCGCTCTAGCATCTCTAAGCGTCACAGGGGATCCAGCCCCTTGGGAGGCGCCCTAGGCCTCCCACAGCCCAACCATCTGTGTTCCGTGTGGCCTCCCGTCCTCAGGACACTCGCCATGGGGGGCTGCTTCTCCAAGCCCAAGCCAGGTACCTCCTCCTCCTCTCTCCCTGCCTCCGCCCTCCCTCCCTGCCTCCCTCCTCCACCACCTTCCTCCCCTCCCCCTCTGCGCTCCGCCAGCCTCCGAAGTAGGTCAGGCTAGGCAGGAGCCCGGAATGTTAATGCGCTGCTGGCCAGAGGAGGGTGGGAGGACCTGGAGAGGTCCTCCTGGTCCCTCCAGTGGTGCCCCTCTTATGTGAGGCTTTGAGTGCTGGTCGTGGGAACAGCAGCTGGATGCTTCTTGGGAAGAGAAGGAGAGGATTTCTCCTGTTGCAGGGGTGGCAAAGGAGCTGTGTGTCCTGGGGCTGAAAGGGAGCTGTAGCGACACCTCCAGCCGTGGTGGGACCTCTCTGAGCCTCAGTTTCCCTCTCTACAGAACAAGCCTGTCCACCTGGACCTGTCAAAGTTGCTGGAAAGGCGCAGTGGGCAGGTCCCTGCCTTCTTTACCTCTCCCGACCTGCTGTGTGATCTCAGACTGCCGCCCTGACCTCTCTGAGCATGCTTCCTCTTTTGCACAGGAAATCTATGCTCTGCCTAGTCCAAGTGGCCCCAGTCAAGGCTAGGAACATTCCAGGACACTAGGAGAATCCAGCCTTGCTCCCTATGGGGCTCTCCTTCTGGCCCCCACTTTTCCTCTTCCCTCCTCAGAGCACCCAGGAAGGCAGGGTGTACAGCCAGGTTACAGTTGGAGAAACTGAGGCCCAGAGAGGCCTCCAGAACCCAGCCTGTGCTCCACCCACCCCCACCCAGGCCACCTCAGCCTGGCCAGCGCCCTGGTTCTCCTTATCTGATACCCATTGGCTCCATTACCTTGGAACTTGTGAACCTTTTCTCCTTTTCCTGTACCTGAGAACTTGGGGGAGGGAGGAGAGCTGTGATGCCCCTCAGGCAGGGGGAGCCACCTGCACCTGCCCCTGCAAACCACGCTCCCTCCCACCACGGCAGCCATGGGCACCCAGGTCCGGGCTACATCTCACTACCTCCCTGCTTCAAAATATGGATTGGGCAAATGCCATCTATGGCTTTGGCCCCAGCCTCCCCCCGCCCCCGGGTGCCACCTGGCCCCATCCTGGGTGCCTATAGGACTGCTGAGCTGACAGGAGGCCCTGGGGATTGATGCCACCTGATGGTTCTTTTAAATGACCCAGAAGACTGATCTGCCTTGGGACTGGCTCCCAGGACTTCTGGGATGGGGTTAGCCATTCTTCATACCCAAAAGGCAGTCTGAGGACTTGGGTTCTTGAGCCTGAATCCAGCTCTACCCCTTCCTGGCTGTGTAGCCTAAGGCAGGGGATCATACCTCTCTAACCCTCTGTGTTTGCATGTCTTAAATGGGGTGATTACTCATAATACCAGCACTCTGGGAGGCTGAGGCAGGAAAATTGCAGGTTGGAGCCAATCCTGGGCAACTTACTGTCTTAGTGAGACCCTTTCTCAAAATATAAAGTAAAAAGGAGGGGAAGAAAAAAAGAGATGTAGTTCAGTACAAAGGCTCCTCAGTTCAATCCCCAGTAGCACCAGCAGGGTGTATATGTGCTACCTAATGGCTTTTCCTCTTTGCCATGGCTGCCGGGAGGCTCAGAGCTAACTGATAAAACACTACTATGAGGTTAGGGGTATGACATAGTGGTAGAGTATATGTTTCCAGCACCAAAAACTAACAAATGACCCACAAAACACTTCAACCCAATTCTATCTATTGAGCTTCTACTCTGGGTTATAATCCTCTCCTTTAACATTTGTTATTACCAAACAGATAGACACTGTTTCGTTTTGCAGAAGCGGGGCAGGTTCTGGGAATGAGCCCAGGGTCTTGGGTATGCTATGCATATGCCCTATCACTGAGCTGCACCCCCAGCCTGGTCTCTCCACTTTATGACTAAGGCATCTTGAGGTTTTTTTTTTTTTTTTTTGTCATTTTGACACAGGGTCTCGCTATGCAGTTCAGGCTGACTGTGAGCTTGCTTTGTAGCCCAGGCTGGTCTCGAACTCACCACGATTCTCCTGCCTCAGCCTCCCGAGTGCTGGGATTACAGGCGTGCACCACCACGCCCTGCTTGACTAAGGCATCTTGAGGCCCATAGGGGGTAAGGCAGGGAAGCTGGGAATAAAGAGTTGGAGTTGATCTGGTTTGTGGACAAACAGAGACCCTCTCCTCAACCCACCTTTCTGCTGCTGCTCCTGACTTAATGGCCTTCTGTTAGACTACATCAGTCAGTGTGCCTTAGAGCCTTCTGGAAGGAGGTGGTGGATGAGAACAGCCTGGCTTGGCTGTCATCTGGTCCCCCGCCAGGCTGTTCCGTGGGCCCCCACAGGGCTCACTGCTGATGTCAGCTGAATCTAAAGTATTTTCCTTTTAAATTCTTCCAAAAGCAATCCAACACTATTACATAAAGAATGGCAAATGGAGGGGAAACCTCTATCAGACAGAACAGCCTCCCTGAGCTAGAGGCTGGGAACCCCAGTAGGGAGGGATCTGGCCAAGGTTGGGGAGTAGCTCAGCATGAGAGGAAGGACCCATAGGGGCCCTGCAGCCAGGAGAGGAAATACGGGAGCAGTATGGGTGGATGCGTAGCAATTAGCAGAAGCTCAAGGGCCTGAAGGATGGCAGCGCGGGCCAAGCAGAGGGCACGGGCAGAGGCCAGGAGGTGTGACGCAGCAGCTGTGCGCATTGTTCGGCCCTTTGTTTCTGGAGCAGCAGGTCTGAGGTGGAAGGGCTGAGAGGTGAAGCCAGGGCAGGTCTGGAGGCTCTTGTCCCTCTGGAATCAAGAGGCAGCGCTGCCCCCACATGGGCCCATGCTGTGCCGGGGGCTCAGCCACCTCCTCCTCAGCCTCCTCTCTGCTGCAGCAGCCCAGGAGGCCGGATTATCACTGCTAAAATTCTGTTTATTGTTCCCTTCTAATTAGAAAAATACCCCAGGCATGTCGTGGGGAATTTGGAAAATGTGGAAAAGTATAAAGAAGAAAATGATAAGCCAGGCAAAGTGGTGCAAGCCTTTAATTCCAGGGCTCTGGGAGGCTGAGGCAGGAGGATTGCAAGTTCAAGCCCAGTGTGGGCAATTTATCAAGAACTTGTCTTAAAAGCAGTGTGTGTGTGGCGGGAGGCGGGGTGGTACAGGGGTTGTCATTCAGTGAGAAGGCTCTAGTTCAATCCCTGGTACTTCAAAAAGAAAAGAAAAGAAAGAAAGAAAGAAAGAAAGAAAGAAAGAAAGAAAGAAAGAAAGAAAGAAAAGAAAGGAGAGAGAGGGAGGGAAGAAGGAAGGAAGGAAGGAAGGAAGGAAGGAAGGAAGGAAGGAAGGAAGAAAGAAAGAGAAAGAAAGAAAGAAAGAAAGAAAGAAAGAAAGAAAGAAAGAAAGAAAGAGAAAAAATGAAAAGAAAAAGGAAAAAGAAAAACAGGGCTGTGGGGGCCCTGCATCTTTTTTGGGGGGGTTAACCAGGAATTGAACTCAGGACCTTGCACTTATCGGGCAGGTACTTGTGCCACTGAGCTATATCACCAGCCCCTTGCACCCTTTTTATTATCCGCATCTCCCCCAGAATAGGTTTCATTCACAGGACCCCAGACATCTGCACATGAAGACACCAAAACACCAGGGTTCAGTAAATAGTGAAGGAATTTCAAAGTGGTGAGAATAGCTATTTTGGAAGGAAGGGGGAACTTTGAGATAGAGTCTCACTATGTAGTCCATGATGGCTTCAAACTCAAAGAAATCCTCCTGTCTCAGCTGCCCAAGTGCTCGGATCACAGATGTGCATTTCCGTGCCCTTTGAGAATAGCTGTTTTAAGAAGTGACATTGTGTCCTTTTTGTGTGTGTGCAGAAGATCAAATCCATGTACATGCTATACAAGTCTTCTACCATGGAGCTATGTAACATCCCTGCATACATGTTTTTCATGTTTTTTGTGGGGTTTTTTTGTTTGTTTCTTTTTGTTTTTGACACTGGAGATTGAACCCTGAGCCTTTGCACTGAGCTGTCTCTCCAGTGCTTTTTATTTCTTATTTTGAGACGTGGTTTGGCTAAATTACCCAGGCTGGACTCAAACTTTGCGAGCATCCTGCCTCAGCCTCCCCTTAGTGCTGGGCTTACAAGCATGCGCCATTGTGTAGCTTCTTCTGCCTCTTTGCAGAGGGTGTGGCGGGCTTTCTGGGGAAGTGGCAGGGCAGGGAGCACAGGCGATGGCCTCTGCTCCCGGTTTGTGGGAGGGGAGGAGATGGGCCGAGCTAGGGGCTCACGGCATGGTCCTGCCCACAGTGGAGTTCAAGATTGAGGTGGTGCTGCCTGAGAAGGAGCGGGGCAAGGACGAGCTGTCTGCCGGCGGGAAGGGCAGCCCCCGGGCCTACCAAGGCAATGGCACAGCCCGCCACTTCCACACCGAGGAGCGCCTGCCAGCCCCTCACTCCTACCCTGGCCCTCAGGACTGCGTGGAGGCTGCCATCTGCCATGTCAAGGACCTAGAGAATGGCCAGTGGGTTCTGGGCTGGGAGGGAGGATCAGAGGGCGGGGGGCGGCACAGCAGAGGCTGTGGAGGAGCAGGTAAACCAGGTGGGGGGTCTGAAAGGGGCTGGGCATGACCGAGAGGTCACGGCCCTTGTGGCTTCTGTGGGTCTGGGCCTACTCTTCAGAAGGCTGGACTCTGGGAAGAGGCCGCAGGCTGATGGGACTTGTCTGGCTTGACCTCTGAGTGCAGCCCCTCTCCAGGATGCGGGAAGTGGAGCTGGGCTGGGGGAAGGTGTTGCTGGTGAAGGACAATGGGGAATTCCACGCCCTGGGCCACAAGTGCCCGCACTACGGCGCCCCTCTGGTGAAAGGTGAGACATCAGAGTACATGGTGGGGGGAGGAGGGACTCCCCCGGAGAGAGCTTGGCCCGGGGGCCATCCATCCCCAGGTCAACCTCACTCATCCCTTGGCCCCAGAGCCCTCATGTACTAGTGGGGTCTCTTGGGCTCTGGAGGACCAGGAGGTGCCAGGGCACACAGGTTCTTCGGAAGAAGCCCTTGCTGATGGCTTCAACGTAGCATCACCCTCTTCCAGGCGTACTGTCCCGAGGCCGGGTGCGCTGCCCCTGGCATGGTGCCTGCTTCAACATCAGTACTGGGGACCTGGAGGACTTTCCAGGCTTGGACAGTCTGCACAAGTTCCAGGTGGGGCTGAGAGGACAGTGTGGCTTGGGACTAGGAGTATTGAGTCAGGGGCTAGAATAGCCCACAGTCTGGTCCTGAGCAACACTGCCCTTGCAGGTGAAGATTGAGAAGGAGAAAGTGTATGTCCGTGCCAGCAAGCAGGTGAAGGAGTGGCTCAGGGCTCCGGCAGAGGCGGGGACGGGGGCACATTGGGGGTAATGGAAAGGAGGCTGGCATGTGTGGCTAGGGAGCGGAGTAAAGGGCTGCCTGGTGGGGTGAGGCCGGCTGGAGCGACAGGACCTGGCCTCCACTCAGGACCCTCCCTCCACTCAGGCCTTGCAGCTGCAGCGAAGGACCAAGGTGATGGCCAAGTGTATCTCTCCAAGTGCTGGGCACAGTGGCAGTACCAACGTGCTCATTGTGGGTGCAGGTTGGTGCCAGAGTCTTGAGAGCTACTGTGGGGGTTAGGGGGTAGGAGAGAAGTGGCCCCTGGCCCACGGCCCCTCCCTTCAGGTGCTGCTGGCCTCGTGTGTGCGGAGACACTGCGGCAGGAAGGCTTCTCGGACCGGATCGTCCTGTGCACGCTCGACAGGCATCTCCCCTACGACCGGCCGAAGCTTAGCAAGGTGGGGGGTGGGGCGAGGGGGAAACAGGCACAGGACAGTCAGTGCAGGGCAAAGCCTGGATCCTGACCCCCTCTGGGTCCCTGTCAGGGCACTTGGAACCTTGACTTTCACCTCTTAGAGGGAATATCTGGCCAGCTCCCCTTTCCATGTATACCAGGCCCATCTGTGGTACCCCTGAAAGACCTGGTTTTGTTGAGTTCTGTCCTAAAGCCCCTAGTGACCCAGAGCTGGCCTCCCCCTCCTTTGGCTCTGTGTCCTCTTCTACAAAATGGAACAGTGGCCACATGGCCCTGTGTCAAGTTGGCTGTGTCCTGCAGTCTCTGGATGCACAGCCTGAGCAGCTGGCCCTGAGGCCCAAGGAGTTCTTCCGAGCCTATGGCATCGAGGTGCTCACCGAGGCCCAGGTACGAGGTTATGGGTGGGACACAGGCCAGGGAAAGGGTTAGTGGGCACCGTGAAGGGCAAAGCCACCTGGTTTCCTAGGGGTTGTGGGGAGGTGCTGTGGCCTTTCCACCCCACTGCCCATGCCTGGGAGGCAGCACTGGGCCTTCTTGGCAGGGTTCTGGATACACTCAGAGCCCCAGGTGCAGGGAGATAGATAATCTGAGCAGTGTGGGGACAGGAGAGCCTGTAGCACTTCGGCACATAGAGGGGGCTTTGGAGAGCAGGTGATGTCTGAAGCTTATTAAAGAACGAAGCTCCCATGGAAGTCTGGCTGGGCTCCGGGCCTACTGCAGGATTGGGAAGTGGGTGGCAAGGCCCAGATGCACGCCCAGGCCCACACACGCCCCTTGGGGATTGCAGGTGGTCACAGTGGACGTGAGAAACAAGAAGGTCGTGTTCAAGGATGGCTTCAAGCTGGAGTACAGCAAGCTATTGCTGGCCCCTGGGAGCAGGTGGGAGGGTGTCTCCTGCTCTCTCTGACACTGGGTGTGGTGCCATTAGGATGAGAGGGCCTCACTGATGTACCCTGTCTCAGCCCTAAAACCCTGAGCTGCAAAGGAAAAGAAGTGGAGAATGTGTTCACCATCCGGACTCCTGAGGATGCCAACCGCGTGGTGAGGCTGGCCCGGGGCCGCAACGCAGTTGTTGTGGGCGCTGGCTTCCTGGGTGAGCAAGGGGTGCAGTGGGGATGGTGATCAAGCTGTTGCAGCCAGTTCCAGGGTGTGCCAGCCCTGGAAGGTGCAGGGTGCCATCCCCGCCACCTTTGCCCACCACCCCAGGGATGGAGGTGGCCGCCTATCTGACTGAGAAGGCCCACTCGGTGTCCGTGGTGGAGCTGGAAGAGACACCCTTCAGGAGGTTCCTGGGGGAGCGTGTGGGTCGTGCCCTCATGAAGGTGAGCCTGCGCCAGCCCCCAGCACTCCTCAGAATCTGGGGTGTCCAGCCAAGCCCCTGGCTGGGCCTTTACCCACAGTCCACCCACCAACCTGCCTGGACAGATGTTTGAGAACAACCGGGTGAAGTTCTACATGCAGACAGAAGTGTCAGAGCTTCGGGCCCAGGAGGGAAAGGTGGGCCCCTCTCCTCCCTCCCTGCCGCTTTCTGTCCTCTCTGCCTGTGCCCAGTTGGGTCCCTCTGACCACCTACCCGTTCCCTACAGCTGAAGGAAGTTGTGCTGAAGAGCAGCAAGGTTGTGCGGGCTGACGTCTGCGTGGTGGGCATTGGTGAGTGGGTGGGTGAATGAGCAGAGGCATCTGCACATGCTCAAAAGTGAACTGGAGTTAGTCCCTTCCCCTGTCAGAGTCTCAATTTCCACATCTATAAAATGGGGACTCTAAGGATATCCACTTTACAGGGTCACTGGGAAATGTGCACCCAGCTTAGCCCACTTCTGCCCTGCCCTCTGTGGCCTGAAGAATGCAGACCAGCCTCTAATTGGTCCCTACTCCGGTTGAAGTGGCAGTTTGGGGTGCCCAGACAAAGCCGGGAGGTGGCTGCACAGGGGTTTGAGAGGCATGGCACACTGGCCCCCACCTGAGGGCTTCATGGAGTACTTCTTGGAGGAAGTGATACCTGAGGCCTGAGGGAGACATGGGAGTTGGTGGAGTTGCAGGCAAAGGCCACTGGATGAGTGAAGGCCCCAGCATGGGAAGCCGGGGGCAGTGTAGAGCAGGTACATCAGGTGAAGAGCGTGGGGCATAGAGAGCACTGAGGCAGGAGAAGCAGGGTCCAGGGTGTGGGTGTGGTGGCTTCTGTCCTGTTAGGTGCAGTGCCCGCCACAGGCTTCCTGAAGCAGAGCGGCATTGGCCTGGATTCTCGTGGCTTCATCCCCGTCAACAAGGTGGGGCTGGCGGGGGCGGGGCGGGAAGGGTGCTGGGCTGGAGGTGGCTCAAGGTCCAGGTCAGCCCTCTGTCCCACTCATGGAGCCTTGGGCTTCTCCCCCATAGATGATGCAGACCAACGTCCCAGGCGTGTTTGCAGCTGGTGATGCGGTCACCTTTCCCCTTGCCTGGAGGAACAATCGGAAAGTGAACATCCCACACTGGCAGATGGCTCATGCCCAGGGTATGCTAGCCCTGAGGCAGGTTCAGGGAGGAGGGTACCCCAGGGTCTCAGCCTTGCCTGGCCTGAGTGTCTCAGTTGCTAGTCTGGGGTTCTGGATGCTGTGTTAGGCATTCAAGGCTCTGTAGAGGCCAGTCTGGCCAGCCTCATCCAGGCCATTAAGCCACTGCACAGAGTAAATCTTTTGACTCATCCCTGGGGACACAGAGACCTTTCTGTAGTACCCACTGGATATCCCACTTAGCCAGTCTCCCAATCCCAGTTGTCCTTCCGCTGGTCTCACCTTTTCTTTTCTCCACAGGACAGATTCCTCAGAATTCCTAATCAACCTCTATAGTCACCCTGGAGAGGGAGAGGGATTCAATAGGCCAGCTTCCCATGCAGTGCTTCTGTCTCCCTTGAGTCACTTGACTGTCACTGTGAGCTCGCTTGCCTCATACATTCCCCTGGAGGCACAGTTTAGCCTGGGCTCAGTGGGAACATTGTGCTTTCTGTGGAATAGCTGTCCCCTCCCCGTATTTGGGGGCCATCAAACTTCCCAAGTCTCACTCACTGTACTTGGTGTGGACCTGGACTCATAAACAGCAGATGACAGTGAGTTAGCCACCTCAGCACCTCATGGAAACAATCACCAGACTCCCAGCCTGGCATACCCCCCACTACACACACACTCACACACATTACCACCTTTTTCTTCTACCTTGGACATTATCTGAAGGTCTGCTGCCTGAAATCCCACTCCGGGTACCAGTTTTGGTTCAAGTCCATTTCTGTCCAAGTGTAAAGTGACTGCTAGATTGTAAGGAACCAAAGTTTACTTCTCAGTGAGATACAAATGGGATTTAGGATTTAACTATGAGAGTCCATGGGATTCTCATATATGTCCAATTATGGGGTCTAGTGAGGCCTTATAGGCACTGAGAACCCACCCATGATATTCTCCTGGGATCCTGCATGTGGTTGACATTTCTGCTTCTTTGCCCCTTGGGCTCCATTCTCCTCCCTCTTCAGATCTGATGATGTGTCAGATTAGTTCTGTGTGCAAAGCTGAAATAGTGAAACAGAGAACTGCCCAACCCTAGCAATCATTCGGATTTTCCAAAGGAACAATCCTGCAGGTGGGCTGTGGGCTGAGCAACAGTGCACCTCTGGATCTCCGGGGAGTCCAGGAATAGCTACACCTGGCAGAGGTCCCTAGAACAGTGGGGTAGGCACTGTAGGGATGGCAAGGGCCAGGGTTGGGGCTCTCACTGCCTGGGTTCCATAGGGCGTGTGGCGGCTCAGAACATGCTGGCGCAGGAGGCGGAGATCAGTACAGTGCCCTACCTGTGGACTGCCATGTTCGGCAAGAGCCTGCGCTACACGGGTAACCCACTAGCCTTGCAGGGGGCGGGGCCTGGAGCACTTGGGGCGGGGCTTGGTGGCTGAGCGGGGCCATGACTGCACTAGGAAGAGGCAGGTAAGAATTCATTTGGCGAGGGATTACCTAAAAGAAATAAGAAACCCAGAAGCCTGTCCAGAGAGAAGTTAGGAGGGCACAGGGTAGGGAGCCTGTGAAGGCTCCAGCCCTTCCGTGTCTCATTTGGGGACCACCCACCTGCCCTGCCCACAGGCTATGGAGAAGGCTTTGACGATGTCATCATCCAGGGGGACCTGGAGGAGCTGAAGTTTGTGGCTTTTTACACCAAGTGAGAACGGTGGGGTTTGGGGTCGGGGGACAGTCGGATCTCGGTGGTGAAGGGATAATCATTCCTGAAAAGTTCTGCTTCTGAGGAGAGGGCCTTACGAAAAGGAGGGCCAAGTGCAAAGGGAGGCAGCTGGGCAGGAGGAAAGGTGAGGAGGTGGCAGTGATAACTGTCTGCCACGCAGGGGGCCTGGGGGAGTCAATGTATCTTCTGAACAGCTCTTTGAGGTGGGTGTTGATGCCCTGCTTTTACAATGAGGAAAGTCACATCGTTAGAGACTGGTGATGCCAGGACAGGCTCCGCCTGAACTCTGCTGACAGCAGGAGCTACCCAGCTAAAGCTTGTGCTGCGACAGAGGGCTGAGTCTCAGGGCATTTCTCTTGCCCAGAGTAAAATACTTCCCTGGGCCTGAGGTGGTTAGGAGTGTGTCGGGGTCTTCAAGAAAGAATGTCAACGGGCAGTCTTTAGGCTCAGCTACCCTATCTCTGCAGAGGCGACGAGGTCATTGCTGTGGCTAGCATGAACTACGATCCCATCGTATCCAAGGTGGCTGAGGTGCTGGCCTCGGGCCGTGCCATCCGGAAGCGGGAGGTGGAGTGAGTGTGGGTGTGGGAGGCCTTGGGTGGGGGAGGAAATCCCCTGAAGGATTGGCTGGAGCTGCCATCAAGCTAGCCATCCCACAGTCCTCCAGGGCCCGCTCTTCCCCTCCTTCTTGGTTCCCATCAGTCTGAAGTTTCCAGGGCTGCAGGGCAGTGTGAAGCATGGATTGTGGTCTGGGAGGAGGCTGGGGATAGGGAAAGGGCTGTGTGCCCCAAGGCAGGGTCGGTGCTATGGGGGAGGAGTCAAGGCCCACTGCTTGGGTGATTGCTAGGCCTGGACACCTCATGGAAGTTGTGCTAATCCTGGCAGAAACTAGATGTGGAGACATACCTACTGATGCGCCTGGGTGTACCCTACACAGAGATGTTGGGGTGGTTGCTTGGGGTCTTGGAGGCACTGGATATTGGCCACTACCCTTTTCCCAGCATGGTGCCAACAAGGAACACCCTGAGGCTTGAACTGTTTACAGAGAGCTCCCAGGGACTGGGGAAAGCCCAAAAGCCACTGGGGGGCTGGAGGCCACAGGTCAGGGGTAGGCCTTCAGTTGGAAACAATAGAGGACCAAGAATAGACATGATGAATGACATTCTCTTTCCTTGGCCTTCTCTGTTTTTTCCTCTTGCCTTCGCAAAGGCTGTTTATGCTACACAGCAAGTACGTGTATTCTGTCCTTCATGTTGACTGTTCTGAGCCTTTCCCATCTCAGCCCAGAGCCTCTGCCCAATGATCTACCCCCTACCCACCCTGCCCAAATAAATCTCCCTGCGGGGCACCAGGATCTGACACAGAGCAATCACCCGGCTGTCTTCAAGAGTCAGCTGTTCTTGGTGCCCCGAGTGGGGAAGGTGTTGTCTTCTGTCCTGATCCTTCCTCACCTCCTTCCTGCAGGACTGGCGACATGTCTTGGCTCACTGGGAAAGGATCCTGAGCTCATATGCAGTGGACTTGGGCATGCACAATGGGCCACCAGGGACAGAGGCGAAGCCCTGGGGGCAGGTGCCAATCTCCAACTTCCCAGGATTCCCCAAGGCAGAACTGGAGCCCTCCCAATGCTTGCCTTCAGCTGCCTGGCTCCCCTCTGGAAAGACCTCTGCTACCTCCAGAAGATACTCACTCCACAAAGCCTCAGCTGCCATTGACAGCTGCGACTGGAGCTGGGACAGGCCCTGCATCTTTTTCCCTCTTTTGGGACTGGTGTCCGGGACGACCCTGCAACATATTAGACATTGTTTTAAAATTAAAATGCACACACTTGCAAATCAGTGTGACTCCCAGTGTAATTGGGCCACCAACCGGATGGAAAAAGTAGACTACAGGGAAAATAGACACAACCAGTTAAGTTTTGCCTGTGAGTCCCCAGAGGAGGTAGTAACTGATTCCCTCCCCACAAGGTCAGGGAAGCGTTTTTCAGTATCTTTGGACCCTGATTTAGAAGGAAAAGCACTCCAGGTAAAAGGGACTACACGTGCAAGGGCTTGAGACAGAAAACGAGTCTTCAGAGGTCAGACTCAATTAATGATTGAAACTTTGTGGGCATCTATTTAGGGCTGTAAGTGCTGTGTCCTGTGCCTTTCACAGCAGCTGAAGTTTTCTGAATCCTCATTTGGGTGGTGAAGAAACAAAAACTCTGCTATTAATTAGGAATGAGAACAGAAACTCATGCCAAGCTGCCTTCCAGCCATTAAGAACCCTCAGGGGAGAGGGGAGATCCGGGAGGGCTAGGCTGGGGTAAAAAACAAAAAGGTGATAGTTAGACTGCCTGCCATTCCGGAACCCTCCACCTGGGATCCCGGGAGAGGCGGACAATGTAGATGCGACCCACACCAGATTACAAGGCATGCTGGGAACTCCGTGTCCTTGGTCGCTGAGGGATTGGCCGGCGGCGTGAACCTGGCAGGAGCCAGAGAAGCGCAGTCCCAGCGGGTTTGGAGTCCAGACAACTTTACTGCCAGAGAGAGCCCGGCCCCTGTACTTTCCGGAATGTTACACGATCATCGCAAAGCCATCCACTAGGTCCAGGGTTTGACTGCGGTGTCACCAGGGGCGCTAGGCTTGTCGGGATGTGCAGGCTGCCGAACGTGGGGCGCTGGCCGGAAGTACTAAGACATTGGCGCACAGCTTGCCGGGAAATGTGGTCCCTCGGGGCGGCCGCGGGCGGTGGCTGCAAGTCCTGCGGACAGGGCTGCCAATCGGGCGTGGACCCGGGATGGCTGGGCCGGGTGGCTCAGGGGGCCCGATTGGGGCCGGGGCCCTGGCAGGTGGGGCGCGCTCCAAGGTAGCTCCGAGCGTGGACTTTGACCATAGCTGCTCAGACAGTGTCGAGTACCTGACGCTCAACTTCGGGCCCTTCGAAACAGTGCATCGCTGGCGGCGCCTCCCACCCTGCGACGAGTTCGTGGGTGCCCGGTATGGCGGGGTTCAGGGGATCCAGAGGGCACGGGAAGGGCGGGGGTGTGATGTGAGGAGGTCCCAGGTTGGGGGTCTAATGTTGAGGCCCGGGCATGGTGGCCTGGTCTGGGAACTGCTAATCGGCTGGTGTCCAGGGCAGAGGAAGCAGTTCCTTGGAGACCCAGAGCCGGGAGACCCTGGGCAGGGTACTAGAGCTGTTATGATTCTGAGCCTTCAACTGGGGTCCCACGAACTTCGGTGGGGTAGTGTGAGACATCCCCATCCACAGAGGATGTGGTGGACTATAGGGGTCTTTGTACATCTTGGTAATCGACAAATGTTATCTAACTGCTGTGGCAGCCCCCATGTGTAGTCCCAATCCTTGAGTGCCATCTAGTCAGGGCCTGACTTCACCACCTTCCACCCCTTCTTCCTTTCTAGGCGCAGCAAGCACACAGTGGTGGCCTATAAAGATGCCATCTATGTATTTGGTGGAGACAATGGGTGAGTGAATCAAGGTTTTGGACCAGGTAGGGAGAAGTATCGTGGTCTGAGACTGGGCCTGTGAAGCTCCTGTCTTTCCAGATGTTAGCTAAGCACGCTAAGCTTCAGTTGCCCCATCTGTGAGGCTCCTTATACTTACCTGCCAGGTCATGGAAAAGATTTAATGAGATCCTGCCCTCAAGTGCTCATTGCAGCATTTATGGGGTAGCATATACTCAGTATATGGAAATACCTGTCTTGTTTTGAGTGAGTGGATTCAACCTTGAAAGAAGCATAACCACTCTTGCTGCCCGCCCTACGAGGGAGTTTTCTTTCCTTACTCTACCCTCTGGGCTTTGTCCACATGCTTTTTTTGCAGCCCAAAGGAGTGGAGAACACAATTTTATTTATTTTGTACACTTCTCACTTTTTGTGAGGGTTTTCCTGCATTGCTACAAACTCCTGGCAAATAACCTTCCTGGCAATGACCCTGTTTTCTGTGGATGGGCATGCCTCCATTCACAAGAACTATCACTGGGTAAGTTGTGGCTGATTTCCCTGTGCTGAAGGTAGTGTTTACACATGACTGAACTTCCCTACAAATCTTAGCCCTGCCTCTCAGCCCAAGCCCCAGAACCTGCTTTAATGCCCAGGAAAAGTACTGCCACTTTTCAGTCCTGCAGGACTTTAGGGAAGCCAGCTTGGGGTATTTAGGATGCTACCAAGACCTGCAGACTAGGCAAAAGGGGCATGATCCCCCGGCATCCAGCCCGTCTCCTTCACAGTTTTTCCCCTAGAAGCAGCCAGAGGGATTCATTTCCAAGTGCAAGTCAGAGCATGTTCCTCCTTAGCTCAAAGCCCTGTGGTATTTCCCTACCTCTCTGAGTAAAAAGCTCAAGTCCTCATAGTAGTCCATGAGGTGTGTATACTTGTGTCTGCTCCATTTCTCTGTTCCTCCCAGCCCCTCACTGTGCTGGGCCACGCTGGCTGCCTTGCTGCATTTGAACTGTGCCAGGTGCCCTCTTGCTTGGCTCTTTGCATTGACTGTTTTCTCCTTCTCATGCTTCTTACTTCTCTTATGTTGTGGATGGTAAAGCCTTCCCCCACCGACCCCCACTTACCTCTCAACGCCTGCATTTGTCTCTGAAGCTCATAGATGCTTGTTACTATCTGTCTCCTTTGCCAAGGCAAGGTGTATGTTCCT